ATATATATATATATAACAACTGCATAATTTCAATGTTTTAATTTTTTATAGTTTTGTTATTGTTAATTAATTTTTTAAAATTTATTTGCTTAATGTTTTAATTTCTTTCATTATAATTATTTAAAACATGAAATATTGTTTTTTGATGTTAAATTTACCAATATAATCATTTATATAGAGTTATTTTTAACTATTGTAATTGTATGTTATTTTAAACTACTTATTTGAAAACTTTTAACTATTATAAAAATATTTTTAGAAAATATTTTTGTTAAATTAAGATTACAATTTAATCTTTGCATTTGTCACTACAATTTATCATTTTTAACTATTTACAAAATACTCTTTGGTTTTTTAAGTGGAACTAAAATTTATATTTAAATTTCACTGCTGAAAGACCCCAACTTTTGATATTTTGAAAGACTCAAACTTTCATATTTCACAATACTATTACTCCAAAACATGTTACATGCATATTCATAAAAGCAATATATTACATTTATAGAGAGGTTACAAACTATTGGATACAAACCGACTATTACAAAGTGTTATATATTACATAACTACCTAGGATATTGTAATTTATACAAACATAAACTGAAGTACAAAAGTATTATTACAAACTATTCTAATTCTTTCAACAATATATGATTATAATGGTTACTTATCACTTGCAATTGTTAAACATTGATAGGATAAGCGGTGCTACTTAGTGAGTTCAATAATAGATACAATATAATGTTATGTCATATATATACTTCAATATGGCAGAAGCAAAGAGAATCAAGGAGCAATAAAGGCATATGTGAATCATGTGACAAACTTTTCAGATCAATCAATGACTTGATTCAAAGATATAGAATCAATGAGACATAACAATTTTCATGCTTGATAAACATCAATAAAGCTTCGGCCCAAATGGCACAGAAGACATAATATTTCTGATTAACATCACCATTTGCCAATGCTATAGAATAGAAGTCATTCTTTTACGGAGACATCCTCTACATGACCAAAGGCTACGTACCAGTACCAATGTGAATCTAAGTCCTTTCATTGATCACATGGTCAAAGGTATTACTTTTTCTATAAAAATAGCGAATAAAATAACACGGGAAAATAACCCGGAATAATAACACTGAAAAGCACATAACACATATAACACATAACATACAATTGTTCCTATATATTGAACTCACCTTGAAATAACCGGGGTTAAAATAATAATTTGGGCAGCACTTCGGCTCCAACTGACTTTCTGGGGCGAAACCGGGGTTTTTAGTTGAAAACCGGACTTTACTCGGGCAGAGTTTCGACTTGAAAATAAGATTTTCTCGGAAACTTCGGGGAGTCGGGGCTTGCTTCAGATGTCAGAGATGATAACGGGACTTCTGGGGGTTAAAAGTGGCTAAAAATGGGAGTAGAGGGTGTAAAAGAGTGAATATGAGCAAACCAAATCGGAGACCTTCGCATCCCTTATATAGGGTGCGAAGCACCTTACTACGCGGGGCGTAAATCCTCGGTACGCTGGGTGTACGCGAGGTGTCACATACTCAGTTCCCAGGTCTCAGACGTGGCTTCTATGTGGCGACCATGCGAAGACGGTAAACGTGGCTGACTCTGGACCGGATACGTGCGAAGTACGCTGGGCGTAACTCTCGCATACGCGGGGCATATGGCTTCGGATAATACTTTGATTTTTCATTTATTTTTATTTAATAATTCAAAAATTCATATCTTTCATATATGAACTCCGTTTTTGATGTTCTTTATATGTACGCGTAGGTGAGAATATACTCTACAACTTTCGGTTAGACTTCATCGGCTAATTTTGAATTCATTTTTATTATTATATTTTTAACAGATCGGGATAGGAAAAGTCCGTTAAAAATTCATAACTTCTTCATCCGATGTCCGTTTTCGTCAGAACTTTTACCGTTGTACTACAAATGACGAGATCTTCAATTCTCGTTCAGGTTGTATCGGCTGAATATCGCACGATCTAAAATTCGATTTTTTAGCTGTCTACTGCTAATCCGAAACTTAGAAAAATCATAACTTCCTCATACGAAATCAAATTTTGGCGTTCTTTTTATCGAACTTCTCGGTTTAACGAATACTACGACTTTCATTTAGATTTCTAAGGCTAAAAAGTAGTTTATCAAAAACTCACTTTTTATGTCATTCAGCGTCGTGTCAGTTTTGTCGCGAATCTTTGATTGGTTATAACTTTTTCGTTATAACTCAGATTTTGATGAGGTTTTCGCCTAAATGTTTCTAACGAGATTATCTACAACTTTCAATAATAAAATTTTACTTATTTCAAATTTTATATTTTCACTATATTTCATTATTTGGTTTTTAATTGGAATCTCATAAGACTTCCAATATTTATGAGTGATTCTAAACATAGTTTTACTTCATTTCTAGTAAAAATTATCTGTTGGAACTCAACACTCAATTTCTCATAGTATTTCACAATTTTATTTATTACAAAACATGATTTCAAAACGTGTATATTACAACTGTAATATTATATTTAAATTAACAATTTAAGTATTTTGTCCAAACTATTCTAAAGTTGTAGCTTTAAACTTATAATGGTTTACATAAAACAATATATTAAATCTAATAAATTAAGTATAATATGTTAAAAGTTAAAGACATAACTTTATAAGTGGAAGTAAATACATTATTTAAAAAATAAATATTAGTTTATTTATGATTACACTTTAGGTTTGATATTTATTTAACCTTATTAACCAACTTGTAATCATTATTAGAAAGACAATACAATTAATCACTTTTAACAATTTACAAAATGTTCTTTAGATTTTTTAAGTTAAACTGAAATTTATATTTAAGTTGACCATGTAATATTATATTTAAATTAATAATTTAAGTATATTATACAAATTGTTACAAAATTATATCTTTAAAATGAGAATTGTTAACTAATAAATTAAGTATAATATGTTAAAAGTTAAAAAAACATAACTTTATAACTTTATAAATAGAAGTAAATGTATTATTTTAATATTGAAATTTAGTTTATATATGACTACACTTTAGTTTTGATATTTTTTTTAACCTTATTCACCAACTTATTATTATTATTATTATTATTATTATTATTATTATAAAGAAATTGAAAAGTCATGGGTATTTCAAATAAATATGGTGAAAGGAAAAATATATGGGAGTTTCAAATGAATGTGGATAAAAAAAATACTTCTTTTATAATATATATATATATATATATATATATATATATATATATATATATATATATATAGAGAGAGAGAGAGAGAGAGAGAGAGAGAGAGATAGATAAATAGATAGATATAGATAATGATAAAATTCTTCACTTATGATTTCTTTTTGACAAAATATCATCTATAATTTATCAATAAACCTTAAATCTTTTATATATTTTGGATTTTTTCCTAGTGGTTGTAGTTCAAAATTTGTCAAACTGTTATATTACATTACCATTCAACAGATAGCCGTTTAAATATATGAGTTGATTTTTCTTCATATACAATGATTTATGATTTATAAAGTTATACAATATGATATTTTAAAATAAAAATTATTATATATGAACGAAAATTACCATATAGAAATCACTTTTTACAAGAATGAAAAAAAAGATTAAAATGAAATAAACAAAAACTAAAACACAAATTCGAGAAAAATATAGAAACAAGAAGTTGAATTTGGAGGAAAGTATATACGTTTGTGGGGCAAACGCCATATTGAAGCAAAGATTATGACCCACAACACACGATTTCTGAATTCTAAAGCTAAAAACAAACACAAACTCCCTTTGCTTTTAATGTACTTCGGTAATGTTCTTATTTATCAATAATTTAATATTATTAATAGATTTGATTTCATTATCTCTTGTGTTTTGGTCCTACATATGTAGATAGTTTTTCGGAGACCATATCGTTTCGTTTAAATATACAAATTTACTCCGTTCTATAAACAAATATTTTCCATGAATTAGGTGATAAAATGAATGATTTTTCCATAACAGCTAAATTATACATTTATTTTTCTTATTTTTGTACTTCTACATCTTTGGTTTCAAGTTTCATTACACCCGACAATTTGATACACAACACATGTTTTAGTGTATTGGTTTTGTAAATTCGTGTTTCGTTTTTTACACAAGTCAGACACGAATTCACTCGTTTAAACCTGTATAGCACACATATAGTTTTCATATGACATGCACCACGTTTACGACACATATAAGACACTTATAATTGTAATGTCACATTTTATGATCTGATAAGTCAAACTCTCCTACACAATGTCTATTAGCATCAACGTCTATACCAACAACATCAGTGTTTCAAAACTATTAACGTTATCGCTTAATACAGTTATTCTATGTAATCTTTTGTATATTAGGTAACGATATAGATAAGTATAGAATAGATAGGAAATCCAATATCTTTCACTACTAGAAATAGGCCTTTAATGACATGCAAACCATGACACACACGAATTTTTGATACACCAAAGTGTGTGCCCTGAAAATAGTGTCAGCTCTCCCAAAATTTGAAGAATTTAGGACACGCATATTTGCGTGCCTTAAAATTAGTGTCATAGAAAAAAAATGGAGGGTACCTTTCGTAAAATGTGTGTCGTGCAATGATATCGCTTTATATTTTTTTAATAACGTGCGTTCATTCCTCCTGATAAGCAACTAGGGCTTTTTTTCACATTCATTCCACACAAAATCGTGAACATGTTTACCGAAGAAGAATAACGATCGTTTCTCTCGTATCCATACTTCTTTCTCATTTTCCATTTCAACCTTGATAGAATCGACGGAAAACTAGGGTTCCATCAGGATCGCATCATTTTATTACTCTTAGAGAGACGTTTCTCCCATCAAATGATCTAGCTTCAATTTTGTTTTAATCAAAGCAATCTAATGTTCTGTGGGTTTATCGCTGCTTATAATAGAACTAGGAAAAAGTTAAATGGGAAGAGAAGCACCGTCACAATCAGAGATGACAGATAGGTACAATAATCCTCCTCATTCGTCCCCTTCTTTCTGATCAGTTGAGTTTTTTTTTTATCTTCTTCTGGTTCAGATCATGTGAGGGCCTGTTTGTTTTCCTTCTGACTCAGTCCAGTCAAACTTTTTCTCATACTCGGTTAAAATCTGTATGTTTGCTTAGGCTATGTTAAACATCTTACCCAGTCCATGGTAGTCCATCACATCTGATCCGGTCCTCCAAAAAAATGATGCTTACTCGGTTATTTCTTCCGCCTTCATGTATTTTCCCTTTCTTTCTCCTAGCATTTGAGGCGACTTATTCCTTCTCCTTCCCCCTCAAAACATTTAAGAACTCCTCCCACCTTAGACCTTTTCACCAGATCCTCCTACCTCAGACCAAAGCCTTCGTCACCTCCTCCAATATCGTCGCCTCGCCTTAGCTCCGACCTCCTTCCAACAGTAAGAAAAATCTTCTCTATTGATAATTTTAATTGGCTGTAGGTGAAGATGAGCGGCATTAATACAATCGGTGAAGGTGATTGTCACTGGACGTGGGAGGCACATGTTCATGGCCATAATCTACAGATAATGAAGATCAAGTTCCAAGTTCTTACGGGCCTTAATTTAGTAATCCCGTTAATCTATTTATTAATTCCAAATGTCAGGGAGTTTTTCAACTTTTTTGTTTTCCTAAAGCATATGTCATTGATAGTTGAAAATTTGTTATTGCCCTAATTTTATTTTCAATTTCTTATTTATGTTGGGTCCTGTGTGTATAAATTTGCAATATTCGTAGATTACTCTCCTTTTTTTTTTTTTTTTTTCCAAAAAGTGACCCATGACTTCAAGCTCCACCATTTAAAATGTGTTCATGCATGATGCTAAAGTGCAGATATCATTTATCACACTCATCATATTTGTTTCTTTGTATCATGTTACATTCATGTGTTCTCCTTTTCTATGGTATTTGATATGTTAGGCACTCCACTTTGTTTTGTAATTTGTAAGCTCACCCTTGATTGATTAAGGGTAGTTTTGGTATTTTCATATAACTAGTACCATCTTGGTAGTTATATCTTATTTTGTTTGTTTACTTATTTTATTATCACTAGTTTGTTTTATCTTATTTTATTATCATTGGTTTGTTTTATCTTAGTAATTTTGCTTATATAGCTTATGGTGTTCATCAATAATTGGGACGTGGCGACTCTAGAACTAAACTTCATTGTGACATGTCTTTTGCAGTATGTTTTCTCTAATTGGTCATGCTTGATTCTTCTACTTTAAATTTCCCGTTATGCCCCTATGGTTTCAGATTCTTTTAAGAAACTAAAAAGGGTTCTAGTCTCAGCAGCCACAATGTAAATGTTTCAATTCCAATGTGGATTGGACTTTCCATGGGTGCTGGTCTTTTCTAGAGATTTAACTTTTCATGTTGGATTTTATTATGAAGAATAATTTCAAAGAGATGTATTGATTATATTCTCTATTTTGCACACCTAACATGTTTTGGATTTTAATCTTTTTATATATTTTCATTTATGAATATGTATTCTGGTGACATGCAGGTGAATGTGTGGACTCATACTGCAACTGTGACCCCTGACCTTGAACATCGTGAATTTATAAAGGAATTGAAGCAGCTGCACAAGGCTCATGATGATAAGGAACTATTTGGAATGGCAGTGACGACACAACCAAAAGATGAGACTGCAGTTAAATTGAATGAATTGAATGAAAAAAGAAGGTGCCTAGTTAAAAAAAATTGTTGAATCTAAAGCTAAAAAAAACACGAGTGATGACAATGTGGAAGAAACAAGTGACCCTGTTAACAGTAGAGACAAGCCAAAATTTGAGAAAGAAATAGATTGTTGTCTTGTGACAAGTACTAGTGATCAAGCACATGAATGTGCATTAAAGGTGGAAAGTTGTGAAGAAGCTATGTCTGATACTGGTATAATGGTTAGGAGGAAGAGGAAAGCTTCCATACAAAAGGGTAAGGGACAAAATGGAAATAAAGGATCTGAAAATAAGGGCAGGACAAAAGTGATATCCTCTGATAGTAAGAAGATTGCAAAAATGAGGAAACAAAAGTTGTTGAAGAAGTTGATAACTCAGATGATATTTCAGGTAGTTGTGTGGATGGAAATGACCTGGGAGATGGAGGTGCTCTGTGGGACATATTTCAGAGGGATGATTCTCCTAAACTCAAGGAATATATCAAAAAACACTTCAAAGAGTTTAGGCATATATTTTGTAGACCAGTGGAGTAGGTAGTCCTTACTTTTAATTGAAATTCTTTTATGTGTAGCCTTACATTCCTACTCCCTAAATAATAATATCTTCCATTGTCTTTTCATGGTCCAGGTTATCCACCGAAACGATGGTCAAACATTTTACTTAACCATGGACCATAAAATGAAGCTTAAAGAAAATTTTGGTTAGTAAACATTTGCAAGGCTCTGTATCAGCTTCTACTGTTATAAAAATTCTAATATATAAGCTTAGGGGAGAGGGAACTCATACTTCATTTCAAATCTAAAAGTTTGGATTGAAAGGATTTGAAAGAACTTGGTCATGGGCATAAATGAATATCAAGTTGAAATGATTCAACATAGGAAATTCAATATATACGGAAAAATTATAGCAAGAGACTGATCAAGTATCATGTCTTCATGTGAGACATTATGTGTCGAATCCCATATGTCTTGAATATTAGATTGATTACATATGCTATAATATTCACTTGTTCTGATTTTCCAAATGTCTACGACATTGAGAGGGAAAAAGGACTAGAACAAGGTGTGATTAAAGTTGTTAAACAGCTGTCAAGAATACTATGAGATTTACTGAAGATTGGTTGCTTGTGGACAGCTATAAGTATAATATTAATTTGGATGGACCATATTGACGTAAAACTGAATGGAGGTGACTCTTGTTCGAAATTGATGGTCATATGGGAATATGGAACTATTTCCATAATAGGAGTTTGTTATTGGAATCTACATATGAGTTAGAAACCTTAACGGAAGGAAGGTGTTCAAGGAGTTACCTTGAATTTGATACTTCAACACCATGAAATTATTTTAGTAACAAAGTTTCAATGGAGCATTTTGTGACATTGTAGGCTAAGTCTCGGTGACTTTGACGCCACGTCATCCGAAAAAGGATATTACATGCACTTGTAATAAGGATCTGGAATTGTGATATGAGCATCATTGGAGTTATGTCTAATTGATCTGATCACAAAGGAAGTACCATAGAAAGACATAGTATGCATGTTTATAACATGGAATGACTGATGTTTAATTCAAGTGTTTAGCTGATTAATCAAAACATTATACAATTAATAAAGACGAATTAATATGGTGATTATATAATAAGTGTTTTATTTATATTCAATAGTTTTTATCCCATAGTTAATTAGGTTATTATTGTGTTTCACTTTGCATGTTTTACTTTCCGAAAAATTGGATTATTCAAACATCTAATCGATCATACTTTTGGAAGTAAGTAGTGAATTAAGATTGTCATGAATCAGACTATAGATAGTCTACGGGGTTAAACATAGTAATGGTTTGCTACAGTATTTATGAGTACTTTAGAAATGGTGATTTAAGTATCGGATTAACCCACGATCAGAGAATTACTTCATGAATTTTATCACGAGTAATTTTGAGACGATAATATCTTATATTCTTCAAAATGAAATATATGAGTTCTTTTTTATGAGTCAGTTGGGCATTGATAATATGTAAACACATCAATAACTTGATGTTATAAAACGTATCGTTGTGCATTATTTGATGAGTAAATAGTACAAGTGTATAAGTCGAAGTTTATCCGTTCCTTTTGCCCTAACGGGAAAAGTGATATCTGTGGGCACCTCGATGATTTGATGATGACATCTTAAGGGCTTGGCCAAGCCTGTACTTACTTAATGTGTTCAATTAGTAATCTGATATCATTCATCATAAATCAGAAATCAGGAAACAAATCTTAAACAAAGAGAATGATTATAATCCATGTATCATGTAACATCCTATATTAGATCGTCCATGATTTAGAGTTCATGGGTGGCAAACCGGGCATGAGGAAGTCTTGGGGTTGCGATGAGTTGCTAGAAGCATAGGGCTTCTTGTCACCTTTTCGTGGATATGAGGTTCATGGGAAACGAACTTATAACAAGGGAGCTATGACAGTTTGAAGATTGGGCAAAATAAGTCCCTTATTTGAGAAATGTGGAAGTGGAGTACGCTGGGCGTATGTATACGTACGCTTAGCATTCTCATGTGCGTGACTTTTAACCAGAGCCACCTAGTACTCTGGGGGTACCAAAGGGTATGTTGGGTGTACTAGGCATAGAAGGAGAACCCTAATTGAGGGGGTGTCCTTATATAAAGAATTATATGGCCTCATTCTTAGCCACCATTCTTAGATAACAAACCCTCTTTAACCATAATACTTCTTTCATAAAGCTTGTGAGTGCATTTAAGATCCTTTGAGTGATTTTGTGTGTTCTTGGAGTGAAGAAGAAGCTTTGGAGAAGAAAGAGTGAGAGTACAAGCCCTTGGATCTGAGCATATCTGTGTTGGGAGCTTCATATAAAGGCATAAAGCTTCAAGCTTTCTCACTCTTTTGATTTGTGCATCATAGTAGAGAACTTTAGGGTTTTTGTCCCAAAAGTAGGAGACTTTATGAGATATTGAGCTATAGAGGCTATGATCAACCCTTTTGAGTGCAAGTAGTGGTGTAGTGTCATAAAAATCAAGCCTTGGACGTTGGAATCAAGCCATGCATGAAAAATGAGCTTTTTGAGATATGATAGTGAGTGTTTTGTGTGTTTATGACAATATCAGCCATGCAAAGGCTTAAAGTCACTAACTTTATGAAGTAACAACTATTAGGGAGTCAAGATATGAGAAATGAGCTAAGGTCTTAACGGGTTAAGACCTAGAGAATGGACTAAGGAAAACTGGGCATACACCCAACGTAATTCCTGTACGCCCCGCATACTGGGTTGGTGTCCCTGATCAGATTCGTGCATGCTAGTGTACGTTGAGCGCACCAAGGGAGGCACACCCAACGTAACCTCACTGTTGGCTTTTTGCGTTAGATCTTATAATGGGCCTTAAGGATTGGGCCTGGATCTTTGGGCTTGAGCACTAGTGACTTTGAGTAAAGAAATATTATAATTATGCCTTGGGCCCTTGATCTGGGCTTGTCTATTGGACTTGAGAGTTGGGCCTTAGGAGAGCCCATTCATTATTCGGCCTTGATTGGACCAATGAGTTTTAGGTTGTTGATGGGCTAGTTAGTGGACTAACTTTAGACCTAAAGAGTGAGGATTTGGACATAGATCTTAATGGGGTAATTATTGATTTTTGGTCAAGTGTTAGAGGCTGGTCCAGCAGCAACATCTTTAGGAGCTGTTCATCATCGGAGGTGAATCTTCTCACCATACATACCTAGAGTGGTAATCTGAGTTGTGTAATCGGAGGGTCTTATGTGTTTATATTGAGTACTGTGATATCCTGCATTATGTATATGTGATTTATGTTGTATATTATGATGAGCTTTATTGAGTTAGGACCGGAGGGTCCACTCGAGTCGTGAGACTGGAGGGTCTTCACTGAGACACAAGACCGGAGGGTCCATACCGAGCCATGAGACCCGAGGATCCTCACCGAGATGCCTGATATCGGAGGATCCATGCCGAGTTATAGCCCTGGGAGGGTTATTATTTGTGCATGTGGTATTTTGGGGGAACTTATTAAGCCTCGTTCTCACCGTGTTATCTGATATGTGTTTCAGGTTTTTCTCAGGATCGTGGGAAGGCGCCAGATTGATTGTTCACACCAGAGAAAGAGTTATGAGGATCCTGGATTATTAATCAAACAATTATGGCGTTGCGTTTTGTAAATTAAATAAATGGGATTTTTGTGAAATATGTTATGAGAATTTTGTGAATTTAAAAACGAAAATTTTGTTTGAAAATTTACGATGTTACATCTTATGTTCATACGATATCTTCTAGAACGGAGGAATATTTGATCACTTATCTAAGGACACATCACTGACAAGATCAGAGTTTGATAGCGGGTTTTGGTAGCTACAATTTGCTAATCAATTTTTGAAGTTATACTTGCAAGTATAGTTATTAGACTTATCCAAGTGGGAGACTGTTGGATTAGGTGTCTAAGCCCATAAGTATAATTGGTATATACTAGAATTGATAGTAGTACAGTCCTTTTGGGCTGCCTTCAAACCTAACAATTGAATAGGATAACTTTTAGAGAGAGAAAAATGATTTATTAATATATTACTTTGTTAATAAATTAATTCGAAATCAAAATAAATGATTTGTGCATGTATTATGGAAATAATATATTAATTATAAATCACATTGTTTAATTAATATTTAATTAGAAATTAATTTGGAATTGATTTTTGGATTGAAGAAATTAATTAAAACTGCAGGGACTAAAGGTGAAAATATTCAATAGTTGAGCATTGGGCAATTCTAGAACCTCCCTATAATATGGGGAACGAATTCTAGATGGTCTATAGGGTTTCCTTGGGCTCTAAGGGTTCCTTGGACGCCTTAGGGAGGAAGTTATGGGATTAGGGTTATATTGGATTTATGTTGGCTCTTTGCTTCCTTGAACTAAGAGGGAGTCCTTCCTTTACTTTTCTTCACAAAACCAAGCCAAAAATCTCATACGACAAGAATGGAACTAGGATTTGGGAGAGAGTAGATACTCATAGGATGGTGCTGCCAAATGATGCAAACCTATGAGTTAGATCCCTTAAATAGGGCTTAAGACCCAAAATATAGGGTTTTGCACCCTATTGGTCACCATATCGTGATGAGGACCCCATTGCATCGCCACTTATTGATGTGTCTCGAACTGTGGTTTGGTCCTTACCACGCCTTGGTACGACAAAATCCTAAAATTTCTTACTTAGAAAGATAAAAGACTTATTCCTGGAATACAAATGTTACACCCAAAGATTACGGTGTGGTCTAAGTTCCATTATGGTAATTGGTAGACTTGATTTCATTGGACTCCTATGTGGGAGTTGTCATGAAACAATTTAGTTTTTGCATTAGTGTATGTTGTGTTATCGTCGATAATTGATAAGTGGGTTTGTTTGTTGCATGGTTTTGGTGCTTTTACCATGGTCATAACTAGGTATTATATTAATAGCATCATCTTGCCATCGATCCCTACCCAGACTCGATGGAATTGGTGGGTCCCCCACCAATGTCAACA